TGTGTCTGACTGATTTAAAACTGCAGAGATCACAATTCTTGTAGAACAACTCCTCCTGTTGCAGGCTCAGTACCTAGGGAAGCAGCAACTCACCTGTTGTGATTTTTAACCACAAAAGCAACACTTTAAAACAGAGGGTTTTCTTTCCATCAGGCTGATTACTTTGCATAATTTGCATATTTTTGAAGGATGTAGGATAATATTACTAAGGAATTATATTTTGGAAAAGTTACATGTCGTTGTTCATATTTTTGCAGACCTTAAGTGATGTTCGAAATTTGAAGTTTCCACCATTGTTCACTCAGAAATATGCACAAGAGGTAGGTATAGCTGATGCTATTAATTATAGCCTTTTCATTAATAATTGTAGCTTTTTTCATTTGCTTTCCAGTTAATTTGCAGGTAAAAATGGAGAAACCAGGTTACTTTCAAGTTATTAAGATGCATTTCTCTATCTCAGTACTTCTCTACATTTCAAAGCTATAACATTGCAATAATGGGCACAATGACACTTCTGTCACAGTTTTCCTCCAGGAATATATTTTTACCTGGTTTCCCGTTGTCACTTAGAGTCATTCATTTCACATACATCCTGTCATGATTTCCTGCAACAAATCCATTTTCCCAAAGTGCAAGACTTCAGACAGGTAAAGGAGAGGCTCTCGGTAGCACCATGGCTGTATGGGATCCCCTCCAGAACTGGAACTCCCAAGAGGGAAATGACTTGAGCAAATTGTGCTCTGTTTTCATTAGTCAGGTCTGTTAAGTGATGTGGTTGTAGCTAAAGAGGAGGTGATGTACAAAACCTCCCCAGTAAAAAGCTTAGGTGCTTTCAGGTGTTCAGGATAGCTTCAGACCAGTGGCCAAATGAGAGCAGCCTTTCCTGCTTTACAGCTGAAAGCTGCCTGGGAGAAGAGGCTGTGCTGTGCTCAGCAGGAGCAGGACACTAATTCTGATTAAATTTGAAACAAATATTCAAACTACATGTATATTTAAAGGAAAAATTCTAATTTGCCACTAGACAAATTCAGTGTGGCTAAATATGTGATGGCTAAACATGAATCTAAAAATTACATATAAATTATGTATCATGATTGATTGCAAATAATGTGAAGTTTTTTATAACTCTATTAAATATTGAGTCCAGTGACAGTAAAGACAGTTTAACAGATGCACAGTGATACATTTTAAAATATTTAGTGCACACCTAACTGCTGAGCCAAATAACTCAGAAAGCAGCTGGGGGTATTTTCCACTAGTTCACACAGCCACAGCTGACACCAGGACATGAAATGAGGAAGAGTTTGTGGATTAGTTCATGTAATATGTGTTGTGTTTTCTTTCAGTACACCATGGTGAAGGACATGCTCTCTCCAAGTCCCACTGAACGACCAGAGGCTGCAGCAATCATAGAAAATCCTGTCTTTGAAGACTTGGAGCTCCCACCCAAGCCCGTGCTCAGGCAGAGGTCACGGACAATGAGCCTATCAGGAAATAAACATTCCAGACAACCAAGCAAATAACTATCCTCAGGATCACTTCTTCCACTCGGCAGGTTTCACAGGGATTGTTCAGCAGAAGGATCCTATGATGCAGAATGTTCATCTTGGGAATAGTTTACTTCAGCTTTTTTTGCCATGTTTAATGTAGAAGACGTGTTGGACAGATTTTTGTTTACTTTGACAGCCAATGAAGCCCAGTAACCAAACCTTTCACATTCCATTTTCCTTACCTTTGCTCTCCTAAGCGGACGGGTCCAGCTGCTGTGCTTGCCAATATTGTGCTCCATTATCCTTTTTTTGGGGGGTTTCTTGGGGTTTTTTGAAGCTTGTAAATGTCAGCTTGCTGGGTGAGTGAGAGATCTGTAACATGTAAATAGAATTAAAATACTGTATTTTTATAGAGCAAATTACAGTCTCTAAGCCTAGTGAGTGTCTATCTGGGTCACTTGCTCTTTGGTGAAATGAAGATGATTTTGAAATTAACTTTGACTCCAATTTTGTCCCTGGTGGGTAAACTGGGAATCTGCACTATTTTTAAAGCAAAAAAGTACCACATTTGTACATATTGTCACTGTCCATAGCCTGTCATTAGAGGAAATAATTTCATACTTCTGCACTACAGTAGATCTTAGGGAATGCATCTTACACAGATGAAGCTGTAGAGAAGGAAAAGGAGCTTTTTGCCATTAAATGGGGGGTTTTATAGGCAGTGGTTGGAAGAGCCATAGTCAAAATTATGTGCAAAAATGTTGTGATTCTGAAAATTTAAACCTAATGAAGTCATACATGTCGTATGTAATCTTGTAGATTTGTACTTTTAAAAAAAAATCAACTGGTAGGCATTTGTGTAATCTGCTAATTTAACTGCCTAATGCCATGCTTTTATTTCTCACTGTAAATATGTTAATTTTTATTTATAAAATACAGAATCAATCCATTTGGGTTGGTGGTGTACAGGATGCACTTGCTGTAATTGTTGAGTGCATTGATTATTGTGACTTCTTTCAAGTCTAAATGATTTAATAAACTTTTTTTATTTATAAGACAAAATAGTAGTTGCTTCTGTTGGAAGCCTGCATCGGTGTGTGCTGCAGATGGCAGCCCTGTGCAGTGGGAACAGGATGGGCTCTGCATTCCTGAAACTTCCTTTGCTTCCCTGTCTCACACTGGCCACAGCGTGTGTGATGACGCAAAACGCAACGTGCTGCTTGGAAGTGAGACAGGATCTGGCGAAAGAAGGGAATTGAGCTCTAAACTGGGTGGATTATAGATGCAATTGCTCACCAGAGAGGGGAGAAGGGATAATTCTTATGCTGTTAGAGCTGTTCTTGTACCATTTTATTTTTCTGTTTTACAGACTTAAATTTGTTAAAGTCTCTGAGATCAGTTTCTTAAAAAGATACTGGACTCAAATCCTTCTGGGGATTACTCTGCTGTGGTGTGACACTGTGACCAGCAATTAAACCAGCTGACACCCTGCAGCTTTGTGATAAGGCAGAAGATTACAATGGTTGTCTTCCATGTCCTCTTGGATAACTCTCCCAGATACTGGCTTGTCCAGGCGAAACCAGAATGCTGCAGTGAGTGTCTCATCAGGAATAGAATTTGTGTTTAGCTGGGTTAAAGCAGCAGAGTTAAGTGTGTCCTCTCCCCTTGGCTGTCCCTGTTTGCATCAGCTGCAGCTGCACAGTGAAATGGCCACGTGTGGAGTCTTTGCCCTCCCTGCCAGCTCAGTGATTACAGGTGCAGCACAGGAAATGAGGATTAAGGTATTTTTAACTTGCTGTGGATGTGGATGTGGGTAGCTGCCTATTCCAAGGGCCCTGCAGCATTCAGTACCAGAACTGGCATATGTGTTCACACCAGGTGTGTCTGCATATTCTGGGGTGTTGCATTTGCCCTCCAAGGGGTGGATGAGTCCTTCCCTGTGGGGTCTCTGCCCAGCCACAAAAGCATCTGGCCATGCTCAGCTCTGAACTGCCTGGTCAGTCTTTGCTTCTCTAAGCACTGGAGTGTGTTGTCCCTGTCTTTGTCCCTTGTTGCTCCAGGGTTTGACAGAGAAAGGTTCTTCTCTAACCTGGAAGGATTTCCTCTGAATAATGTGTTCTTTCCCGACAGCTGTTTTGTGGAAGAACACCCAAACTGGGATAGCTGTGAGCTCACAGCCCTGCAGAAGGAGCTTTGGCCTGGGGTTCTGCTGTGCTGTCCCATTCTTTCACAGGAAATTGCCTATCCCTCCTTTCCTCCCCCATAGCTCTTGGGAACGAAACTCCATTCCTTGTCCTGTTCTACCAAAATGAGCTGGGTGCCAGCAGCAGGATTTCTGCCCTGCCCACCTTTGTGCCCACAGGATGCTTCCCCCAGGATAAGGTGTAGTTAGTTACCACTTCCATGTTGTTGCTGGAGGCAAAGGGTCTGGAACATCTCACCGTCTCCATGGAGAGTCATTTCACAGGAGAACCACTGTTGAACCCCAGGTCAGGGCTGTTTTTTCTTCCAGGCTCTTGAGAGAGAACTCCTGACCCTTGTGCTGGCTTCTTCAGTAGCTCAGCTGCTCCAGGCAGGTCCTACTGCATTTGCTGCCTCTGAGGACAATCCCCTGCTACCTTTTCAGAGTAACCCTTCAGTGAGGCACTTGTAGCATTCCTACAGGGAGCCAGTGCTATTGGAAGTCCAGATGAGCACTTGGGAGTAGTAAAAATAATAATTTCCATTTATCATTATTTTTTTATGTCTCTGTGGTATTTACTACAGTGTTCACACAAGTAATAATTCCTGTTCACATCCCATCTTCAGATGGTGTCAAAGCTGTAGCTTTAAAACTGCAGTGCTCCTGCTGTTGCAGCAAGTCTTTGTCATTTCCTGGGGTCTGCCATAGGGAATGTCCCCTTCCAGAGTTAACAAGGAAACGCACAGGTAATTCACAGAAAGTTCTGAATATCCAGGTATTGTAGAAGCCAGTGAGCTGAACCCTGGGCAACAGCCCAGGCTGCAGAGTGGTGCCTCTTTAGGAAGTGAGCACATCCCTCAATTCCCATACACAGACTGGCGCATGTGGAGTTATTAAAACTGGTCAAATCTGTAATGAAATTTCGAGATGAAAAGCTACAGTAGTTTGATAAGAAACACTGTCCCACCTGACACAGATCACCAGGATGTGCACAAATGTAAGGTCACATTTTACCATACTGGTTTGGGTTTTTTTACCCACCATGAAGGATGAATTTGTCTTAAATTAGAAATTGTCTTAAAGTGCTCATTAGAAAAATAATTATCTAGGAATTAATTAGTTCCATTAATATATAACAAATTGCTCCTAAAATATCTGAGTTCCTCATTGTTGAAACTGTGGAAGGTGAAGAAATGCATCTTTGTTGTATTGTCCCCAGCTGTAATATTCCAGCCCCTCCTTCCCCTATTTTCCTACCCTTTGTTTTTCCATTGGGATGTGCTCCAGCACTTTCTGTATCACCACCTCCAGCAACTGATCCTGAATCCCTATGACTTGGGTTTGCCCTTCGGGGCACCGTTGGGCACCGTCACACTGTATTCCAGGTCGGGAGCGGTCTTGGAAAACGTGGCTATGGAAACCATGTCTTCCCCAGCGTCCACCTGAGACCTGCGCCTGCACAGGAGCAGCTTCCTGAGGGCGTGCTGGAAGTCCCTGTTGAGGAAGGCGTAGAGCAGGGGGTTGATGGTGGAGTTGCAGTAGCCCAGCCAGGTGATGATCTTGAAGGTGCCGAGCAGCACGGTGCTGGTGGAGTCGGTGCCTCTGGCCGCCAGCCAGACGTTCAGCACGAAGTAGGGCAGCCAGCACAGCACGAACACGGAGATGATGATGCTGATGGTCCTCGTGGCCTTGTTCTCCAGCTGCAGGTGGTTCTGCCTCTTGCTGTTGGGGTGGTAGTGGATCTCCAGCGTCTGGGACATGATGCGCGTGGCCTTGAGGCGGGAGGCTCGGTAGATGAAGAAGTACATGCTGCACATGACCATGAAGGGAAGGAAAAAGGCCAGGGCAGAAGCCACGATGGCAAAAACCCAGTTGGTGACGAAGATGCATTCTCTGCCCGCATCAAAGTCCACCCCGGGGATCTCGTTCCAGCCTTGCATGACAGGAAGGAAGGAGATGAGGGAGGAATAGACCCAGACCGTGCAGGTCATCACGATGCATCTGCAAAAGGAAAGAGATGCAGAGTGGAGGGAGGGCCTGAGTAATTTTGGGTTGAGAACATCCAGTACGATCCAATCCCCATGGTAACCTGTGTGGGATATCGCTGCTGAGCAGTCCAGCAGGGCGTGGAGAAGGGAAAAAACTAGACTACAACCAGTCCAGACTTGGATATCTCTAACAACTGGGTAATTGGTCTGTAGTTGACAGAATTGGGGTCAGCTCAAGGAGTGCTCAGAGCTGGCTGAGAAAAGATGAGGAAAGGTTTTACAGAAGATGTTTGTTAGTATTTGAAGCAACAGCATGTAGATATTTTTGCTTTCAGCTTTAGTATCTGGCCATTATCTCTCCCTCTGGGGCCTGATGGGGATGGAGCTGATGGACACCAGATGGCAGAATCTGCAAGGGGGGCCACAGAGCCCCCTCCTCTCTGCCTGTGATCCACAAATCACACAAAGCAAGAGTGACAGTGTGAAAAACATGCCTGAACCCACCCTGTAAAGCACTCCACTGTTGCAGTGTCCTCTCTGCCCACCCTCAGATGACTTTCCTCACCCTGCAGTCCTCATTTCAGCCTTTCACATGAAATCCTCGTGTGAACTCAGAAACTCTTGTTTTCCCTGAATATCACTTCAGAAAAGATGGTGAGTTTAAGAGAGGGAAGACTACAGCTACATGCATCCTCTGGGTCTCCCTTCACCTAGTCCTTAGAAGTTCTTCAAAGTCCTTCCCCATCTCTGAAAATGTTTAAGGCCAAGGCTTGAGCTATCTGGTCTAGTGGAAGGTGTCCCTGCTCACAGCAGAGGGATGGAACAAGGTCATCTTTAAGGTCCCTTCCAACCCAAGCCATTCTGTGATTCTATGAAATTCCTGTGAAATGACTGCACAGAGAAAAACCTGTAGGTCCAACTCAGCCCATATCACTGGTTTGTTTCTACCCCATTTTGCAACCCTTCCTTAGCTCAAAAAATATTCTCCCAGGAGCCTCAGCTGCATCCTCCTTGTCCTCTCCTTCACCACGTTAAGCATTTTCTGCAGTTTTAAATGGTGAAAGTTCCTTTCTCCACATCACTCTGCTCATCCAGCCCCAGCTCAGTGTAGGCCATGGCCAAGTGACAGCCTGGAGGGACCCAAAGGGAGCAGCAGCTGCACTCACCTGCCCCGGGACATCCTCCTGGAGTAGTGGTAGGGGGTGACCACGGAGCAGTACCTGTCCAGGCTGATGAAGCACAGCGTGACAATGGATGCAGTGCAGAACATGACATCGAAGGAGATCCAGACTTTGCAGAACAGCTTCCCAAAGAGCCACATCCCTGTCACCTCGTAAATGATGCTGGGAGAGGAAACAGGTGGAAATCAGAGCTGGAGGGGCTCTTTGTGCAGGCCCTGCAGGTGTGTGAGGCCAGGCTGGGTGAGCAGCCTGCTCTAGCGGGAGAAGTTCCTGCCCAGGGCTGGAACAAGATGATCTTTAAGGTTCCTTCCAACCCAAACCATTCTGTTTCTATTTCTTTGTGACTGAGGTAACGCTGTATTTTATCACACAGGTACTAAAGATGGGCAACTCAGACAGCAGGGATTCATCCTCCAAGCACAACCCAAAAAAGGAGCACCCCACGCCTAGAGCATGACTGAACAAGAGCAAAGCTGTGCTTCTTGCAGCCCAAGGGCCTTGAGAGAGATCCTTTGCCCCACAAAACTCCCCAAATTTACATCTGCACAGCTTGTCTGTCACAGCATTTTTCCAGTGCCTGGCACAGCACAGTCTTTTATGATTTCTCCCCAATTCCTAGATGAAACATTTATATTTTCTGAAAAAATCCATTTGCCCAGGATTTTTCTTCTGGGAAGCTGAGAAGCCTCAGAGAAAAAGGAAAATAAAAATTATCTCATTTGTCTGTGTTTTGCTGCTCTGGAATGTGTTTGGAGATTGTTTATCCAACAGGTGATTGTTTCATTGGATTCTGCTGTGAGTTGTTTTCACTCTTTGGCCAGTCTGTGCCAAGCTGGATCAGGACTCTGGAGAGAGTCACAAGTTTTCATTATTATCTTTTTAACATTCTGTAAGTATCCTTTCTGTATTCTTTAGTGTCGTTTAGTATAGTATTTTTAATATAATATAGTATCATAAAATAATAAATTAACCTTCTGAGAACATAAAGTCAGATTCATCATTCCTCCCTTCATCACGGCACCCCACAAATACAATTCCTGGGGCATGGGACATCTCCAAGAAACTCACTTCACATCCAATCAAATGCTTCAAAACCAGGAAGGATTTCCACTCTTGGTTTTAAAAAAAATACAAAACAACAACATCCTAGGAGGAAGCCCATGCAGCTTGTATGTTAAGTGGCTCATAAATGCCTCAGCAAGGTAAACACACCAGCAAAAAGACACAGTACCAAAAATATTTCTAACAAAGTCAAGAGGGGCCTGTGAGAAGTGAGCAGTGAAGGAAGGAACATATGGCAGCTGTAGGAAGGCTGATGCATGTTTCTATAGCATTCAGTGAGATGCCATTTGCTTCTTTCTTTCTCCAGCTTTCTGCAACTCCCAAGGTGCTGCTGAAATCACCATTGTGAGTGAATTTGATGAGTAATTCCCTAGTCCTGCAAAGCTTTAATTATCCTGTAACTTCCCATCTTGCTGGTAAAATACAGCGAGCTCAGAGCTGCTGAGCTGCAGTGCTCAGGTGTCCAGCAAAGGGGAAAGATTCAACCTGATGTCAGAAAACAATGCCTGATCTACATCTCATCACACAAGCTCACTAAATCGATTTGTGAGGGCTGTCCCAGAGCACAGCAACTGCTGTAGGTGGGGGCAGTGCTGCTGAAGGGTCCCAGCCCTCAGCAGCTCTTTGTTATGTGGGATTCCATGCAAAAAATCCAAGCAAACTGCAGCAGAGCCTGTCCCTACACCATGGGCAGCATGGAGGATCCCACAGCACGCTCATGGAAAGGTTTCATGGCTCTTTTACAGAGAGAAAATGAGGCATTAGAAGTGGGGCACGGGTTCAGCTCTGGACATGGGGGCTGTTTTGCCACTCCTCAGAGCCCTCCTGACCCCCAGAGCTGCTGTGGTGTGCCCTGGCCTCCCAGAGGGAGATGTGCTGCTGTGGGGACACTCCTGCACACAGATCCAGGTGAGCAGGTGCCCAGATCTCACCTGCACACATCTGGTGGGGTGCACCCGACCTGCATGTCTCACAGCATGGGGTGAGGGACTCCTGACCCCTCTCCTCTGAGGTAAAAAGTCTCTGCAGCTTGGAAATGCTGCTGGATAAGAAGGAGTAGTAAAAGCCAAAAAAAAGCCCCACACAATGAAGTCGCCCTTGCCTTGCCCTTTTGCTTGCAGAGGAAAAGAATAGCTGGAAATACTCAGCCTGGAAATGACAGGTTGGCTGGAGTACTCAGACAACAAGCTGAGCTCAGCTGAACCACTCCTGCAAACCAGTCAAGCCAAGAACAACAGAAAACTCTCACTCTTATGAAATTAAGACACCAAGGACAAATTTGTTTTTCCCTTCCGCCACATTTCCCTGAGCCAAACTGCCTCCTGAGATCAATTCTTTTCCTTCCCTCTGGCACGTAATAACCTGCCAACTGAGGAGCAAACTGAAACCCAAAAGAGCAGCACAGATGTGGAGCCAAAACAGTGGGAAAGTGTGAAACAGCAGCCACTGTGCTGGCAGGGTGGACAAGGCTGATGGAGCCAGCAGGGTCCATCCCTCAGGAATGGCTCCTCACCAGGCAGCACCAGGACATTCAGGAGGGGCAAAAAGCACCAGCCATGCTTTGCTCATATTTGCTCCCCTTTGTAAATTTTTGTTGCTTAAATAAAACATCACTAAAAGTAGATTCAAAATAGATAGGAGGAAGAAATTTTTTACAGTAGAGGATGCCCAGAGATGCTGTGGCTGCCCCATCCCTGGAAGTGTTCAAAGCCAGGTTGGATGGAGCTCTGAACAGCCTGGTGCAGCTCCACGTGTCCCTGCTCAGTGCAGGGGCTGGGTCAGATGACCCCTAAAGGCCCTGCCAACCCAAACCACACTATGGTTCTATAATTTCAGAACCTGAACTTTAAATTCCTTGAGCATAGATTTTAAGTTATAGTAAAGTTCTTTCTAAAAGAACATCATTAACTGCTTTTTTTCACCTGATACCATGAACTTTTAAGTCAGTTTGTAATTGCTTGTTGGGACAATACCTTTCAGTGCCAAATTCAAATGGCACTGAAAGGTATTGAGAACTGAAGCATAGAACATGGAAAGAACTGAAGCCCAATGAGAACTGAAGCATAGAACATGGAAAGAATTCAGCTTCCTCATATTGCCCCATGAACTAAAACAGGGTGCAGCTCCCTGATTTACACAAACCTCTGGCTGCTTTGCAGGACAGGACAGCCAGGACCACAAGCCAGCTGCTTCCTGCTTTTGTTTCACTGTTTTATCCAGGTAGTGAAGCTCCCATCAATATAAACCTCATACAGGGACACCTGCCCTCTCAAGAGCCTCTTCCTCCATGAAATGTAGGGGAACCCTAAATTACTCTGCTCATCCTGAATAAATTCCTTACATTCCACATGCAGGGCTAGTCCTGGAAGAGGGAGCAACGACTGGAGCTCCACGTACAAAGCTGGAAATCAAGTTCAGATCAGCAGCCAGGGTCCCTGTGTGGCCAGCAGGAAGAAGACCCTTGGGAATTTTGTCTCCATGCATGACGAGGGGATTGTAACACAGAGCAGAGACAGGGAAGCACATACAGCCAGCAGCCCCTGGGAGAGCCCAGCAGGTGAATCCCAGCCCTGCCCCAAGAGCAGGGAGAAAGGACACTTGTCCTCCTGTGCTGCCACCCCCCAGACACTCCTCACCTGAAGGGCATCACCAGACAGGCCACGAGGAAGTCTGCCGTGGCCAGGGACATGATGAACATGTAGGTGACAGTGCGCAGCCTCTTCTCCACCACGGGGCAGAGGAACACCACGGTGTTTCCCAGCAGTGTCACCACGTCAATGAGGGTGAGGACAAGCCCCACGAGCACCTCCTGGAGCCCAACACCTCCCCTTGCAAAGGAGGAGGCAGCAGAGGAGAAATTAGAGAGCCAGGATTCATTCCTGTCCGTCAGCATCTTCCCACTGTTAAAATCTGAACGAGACAAAAGAGGAGAAAAAGAATTACTTCAATGATGATTTGTAGGTGTGTGAAAGGGGGGATGGAAATAATATTTTTGCTTCATTTGCTCCAGGAAAAATCCACATACCCTGCTGTTCCTGTGTCCTGGGTTAGCAGCCCATTAGAAGTGTCTGAAATCCTGAGGGTAGGATAAATGTGAAGCATTGACTGAAGTCCTTCACAGCAATTAAAAGCTCTCCTGTGAATGAAAATGCATCATCAGATGAAGCATGAGACCAGGAAAAAAAAAAAAAATGCACTGAGAGCAGAGAGAGGAAAAGAAAACAACAGAAATCAAAAATTAAAGCAGCTGGGCTAAATCCCACTGAACAGCATGCCAAGTCCACACGATGTGTGGGGCTGGAACTAGATGATCTTTAAGGTCCTTTCCAGCCATTCTGTGGCTCTACATTCTCATTACCATCCTTGCCACCCCCAGAGCAGCTGGGGCTGCTTGCCCAGGCTGGCTGCTTCCACAGCCCCACTGCTCAGTCTGTGCTGTGCCCCAGCTTGTCGTGGTGCTCTTTCAGACTCTGAAGTTTAGGGGTTTTTTACTACCACAGTGGGCAGCTCCATCCTCCAGCCTGAATGGCCAAGCAGGGCTGCCAGCAGCTCCACAGGGAGAAGAATCATGGAATCACAGAGTTATTTGGGCTGGAGGATCATCACGTTGAGGTGTCTCAGGTGCAGCCCTGACCCCAGAATCCCTGACTCATGTTCCCTCTGTGCCCAAATGGGAGTGATGCTTCCCCAGCAGAAAATTTGGGAATTTTCTGTTGAGGAAATCCACATGCCTGTGTCCACAGCTCAGTTCCCAGACTCTACAAAGTGGTGTCACAGGTAAGTGGGAAGGTGGGAATGATGCCCTGCACAAACTCCAGCAGTTCAAAGCTCACTGGTGTAGCTGAGGGAACACAAAGACAAAACTCGTGGGGAAAAGAGAATTATAGAAGTATTCCTCAATGACAAATTGTTATATTTAAATATCATCACTTCTCCTGTGACCAGGGTCTGCTTCCACAGTACCCTCAGGTCAATCCCACATCTCCAGGGCATCCTTCTGAGTGCAGTGTGAGGGTGGGCCTGGATAACATCCCTGTAGCCCAACTTGCCTGACTTCACAGGGGCCAAACTTTGTCTTAGGAGGGGTGTAAGAACAAGGCAGCTAAATTCTCCCAACATCTCTTTGTCCTACCTGCAGCCTATGGTCCAGGATTGCCTCTTAAGATGTTTTCAGTGATTTCTGAATAATAAAATTGTCCTGCCTCTCTGGCCCAGCAAACTTTTTATGGCCAAACCTCCTGTGGCAACAACTTCCTTGGCTCAGCTCTGCACCCAGCAGAGAAACCTCTCTGTGCTTGTTCTGAGCCTGTCCCCAGCCAGCAGCATTCGGTGCCTCTGGTCCTTGCCTTGGAAGGGACACCACAGCCCATCCCCTCGCACTCCCTCAGTGCCACTGCTGGCTCCTCAGCCTCTGTCACACCCCACCAGCTCCCCCCTCACCTGCCAGCCTGCTCATTCCTCACAGGGAAGCAGCAGAGGATTCCTGCCCATCCCTCCTGCTCCCCCGAGCCTCTGAGAAGGACCAGAGCTCCAAACAAGCTCAAAGATTTACCTGTGGATTTGCCTAAGGGCATGATGTGCTCTGTGCTGCTCCCCTGTCACCACCATCCTGACATGATTTGCTCTGTGAGTGGCACTGAGCTGCCCTTTCCCCTGGGCTGTGGCCATCCCAAGGTCCTGTTCCTGGGCAGCAGCAAGAGCTCATAGTCCACTGCTTTAGTTGGGAAAATAGCACAAAATTAGGAAATTAAATTCTCTCCATCTTTTCAAAACACCATCACTTCACAGCTGAATTCTTTCTTCCACTGTAATGCTCAATGAATCTCATAAAAACTTTTTTTCACTTCATTAAGTCAGACATTTTCGTTCATGCCCTGGTTAAACTTTCTTCAGCCTGTAAATATCACCATTTCATGATCCACAGTCTCTAGAACCCCACATATCCCAACCCCCATCCCTGTAAAGAGCATCCCTGACCTCTCTGTAACTCACCATGCACTTACCCCTCCTGCATGTCACCTTCCAGACCAGTATTTCAATGTGGGAAATGGATTTGTAGGTTTCTACCAATACATTTCCCACACTTTTTCACACAGGGAACTTCCTTCTTAACTCAGGACTATTACATTTCCTTAAAAGCTCCCTCCATGAAGGACTGTATTGAAAACTTTTCAGAATTCCAAGCAGCCTACACCACCCAGGTGTTTCTTTTCCACCTGCTGACTTCTTCCAAGCATTCCTATACGAGTGTGAAGCTGCATTTTCTGAAAGCAATAGTGACTTTGTCTTTGGATGTAATTGTCTTCTCATGCACCTACCCATCCTTCAAAATCCTCAGCTCCATCCCCTGACTTCTGCTTATTTACTGGATTTAGTGGTTTCCTTTCTTTCAAGTAAAAAATAAAAAAAATTAAAAACAAAATTAAGAGAAGGCTCAAGCTGTCTAGAAAAGAAAAAAAAATAAAGAAGGAAGCTCTTCCTCACTGGAGCTGGGAGCCACTGGCTGAAACCTGAAGCTCTCCTGCTCCTCCAGCACTGAGAACAAGCAGGTTTTTGGACATCATCTCAGGCAGCCCCCTGGGCCAGCACTGCTGAAAGTCTGCAGGGTGTCTTAAGTTCCTCAGTCCTAATGAAAATGCTCCTTGGACAACATTCCACACCCTGGTAACACCCCATAAAAATAAATATAAAAATATTATATTATATATTAATACATAAAAATAAAAAATCCAGTCTCCAGCTCTCCCATAATTGCCAGGAAAGAGGATATTTTGTGCCATTCTTTCTAACAGCTCCTCTGAGGGTGTCATCAGGCTGGATGAGCTCCTGTGGAACAGTTGGGTTTCAATGCAGCCACGTTTCCTGGCAGAAGGAATTGTTCAGGCTGTTCTCCTCCCTGTGTGCTCCACACAGACAGCTCGGGGACAGCGGGATGGGAAATCCACAGGGACAGGGATGGGAAATCCACAGGGACAGGGATGGGAAATCCACAGGGACGGGGATGGGAGATCCACAGGGACCAGGATGGGAGATCCACATGGACATGGCTGGGGAGTCCACAGGAACATGGGTGGGAAATCCACAGGGACATGGGTGGGAAATCCACAGGGACAGGGATGGGAGATCCACAGGGACACGGGTGGAAAATCTACATAGATACAGCTGGGAAATCTACATCGGCACAGCTGGGAAATCCACAGGGACATGGTTGGGAAATCCACAGGGACACGGGTGGGAAATATACAGGGACACAGGTGGGAAGTCCACAGGGACATGGCACATGGCCACCCAGGAGCCAGGCTCCAGAACCTGCCTCTACAAGGGCCATTCCTGCTCCACATCCATCCTCCATCTCATCTCCCACCCCTGCTGGTGTCCTCACACCTATGGGGCCTCTACAGGATCTGGAAAATGCCCTCTGACCCCACCTCGAATTGACCCCTAACCAGTTTAAACACTTGAGCACCATCCAGTGAACCCCCTAATGCCCATCCAGCATCAGGATAGGCTGCTAAGACATGAACAGCAAAAAATCAAGTTTGATGAAAAATCAGGTTTTTTAAGAAAAAAAAAAACCAAACTATGTCTTAAAAAAGCTTAAAACATTCGGTCTTCGGGTTTTTAAAAATCACTGTCAAATTTTTGTTCATGGGTAGATGAGAATGATAGATGAGAATTCTGGATTAATTATTTGGGTTTTTTTAGATGTAACACTGAGACAAGAAGGTTTTGAAGTCACACCTTCCTGCAAAGAATGACTGTTCCCACACAGTCATTAAGTTTGTATCAGTGTTAGAACGACTCCAATTAAAGCAGATCATTACTCACATTGCTCTATGAACACACACCACTCTCAAACTTTGAGCAGAATTAGGACAAGGTTATTAGAATTAGTCTTTGCGAGCTCTTTGTGCTCCTCAAGTACCATCTCAGCCACCAGCCTGGTTCAAAGGTCTTCTCCAGTGAAAAACTCACAGCAGCATTATCCTTAATGCAGGATGCACACAGGAGGATGACAGTGCACAAAACCAGCAGACAGATGTGCCCACACTCACAAAACACCAGAGAAATACTCTTGTCTTTTTTTTTTTTTTAATCCACACAAAGGCTGAGGGACTGGAAATAAGCCTGTCCTTATTTGACATCCATCTCTCCCACAATAAAAACAAGGGGTGATGGATTCTTGAAGCTTCAGGTTTGCACCTTGAACTCTATTTCAGGGTGCAGACAACAGGATCCTGCTGCTCCTGATCCCTTTCAAGAATGCCCTGGCAGAGTCCCTGGAATCTCATCCACAGTCCCTCTCACAGCCCAGGGTGGATGCCTGGATCCTTTTGCCTCTGACTGAGAAGCCAACCTTTATCCCAAGTGTGTTAAGTAAGTTCTCTAAGAAGAGCTGCTCTCAAACTGCCTGGAGAATTGTCAACACAGGGAAGCAGGGGATGATACCATCTCAACCTCTCTGTGGAAATTATTGGGACAAATCAGGACATGTCCTCTTTCCCAGGGATGCACTTCCTCAGCTTAAAATATTGGATCTTTTAAATACTCCTGTGAGGTGCAGCAGCCCATGTAGCTACACTGCTGAGACAGCCCAATCTTTCTACATCAGTCATGCAGTCTTCCCTGTAAGAGCCCTCTTAAACCAAAAGGTCAAATGCCCAGTTGTACCATGATATGGGATCTTCCCAGGTTTCCTGGGGATCTCAGATGCCTTAGGGTTTGCAGTGATCCTTTTTGGATATTATAATTTTACTTCCTTTCAAAAAACTGATGGGTTGGATTCTGCTCTGAGGCTGCCTGAGCAAAGCAACTCCACCATTTCTGTTCCCCTTTAATATCCAGAAAGTCTGACCTAATTTATGCAGCAGACAAATCCCAAGCTAAAGGTTAATTTCATCAGTAAAAGG